CGCAAAATATCTCCATGAGGAAGCAAAGTGTTCATGGAATGAACACAAAAATACATACTTCAACTTGGCAGCGGTTTTCTTTTTATTTAATTTAAAGCATGTAATTCAAATTATTTTATTATTATTTATTTATTTAAAACGTTGCAAAATAATATTTAAAATATTAAAAGTGTAAACGAAATACCAAAGAAAATTGACAAATTCAGACAATTTTTAGCGTTGGTTATGTAAATTATGTAAATATAGTTTAAAATCTACCAAATAATATATATTTTTCCATTAAATATATTATTTACATTAAATCAACTAGAAAATATGTTTTAAACAAATTTAAATATTTTCAACTTTATATCAATACTAAAATAAGGTTGAATTATATATGTATAATATATTTGTTTAAAAAATATCGTATAAAAATATACAAAAGTGTTTAATCTGCGAACATTTATTTTATTCGTGCAAATTTAATTAATTTATAATTTCAAAATATAAAAATATATCAGATAGCATACATTTACCTACATTAAAAATACAATCGTCAAAGACCACTCAAATTATAATAACTATCAAAAACTTTATGAAATTTTTAAAAAACCACCATAAAAAATAGTTTATATTAACAAATAATTAAATAAATTATTGATTATCATTTTTTAATCCCTCTTCAAGAACTAGTTCAAAGCAGAAATGATTTGATTGATTTTTGACAATTTTATAAGAAAATTATTATTGGTGCTTTGTGGTGTTTTTACTGTTAGTTTCGTGGGTTTTTAAGCAACTTTTAAATATTTTCCAATTTAAAAAAAAAATCATATACAGGTATATTTTTTCACTTTGGGATAACTTTGGAGAAATCAAAGGAATACATTTTAGACCATACTAGAATATATTTATACTACTATAAAAAGTTTATTCGAAAATGAAATGGAAATTAATAAAAAACTTACATTTTTCAATAAAGATTTAATGGTCCCTGCATCAGAAGATATCAAAGTAATGAGCAGAATGCCAAACAAAATGGAAAATATTTGAAAATTGTTCATTTTGTTTGTTATACAATGTCTTGTACTAAGATGATATTTGTCTTTGTTTGCTTTCGGTTTATATACGAAAATCCTTCTTTGTTCTTCAAAAATTTGATAATAACTTTTTAAATAATTTATTTTATTCTCCAAATTCGAAACATCGTGACATTAAAAAAATTGATTAGGCACACATTATTTCAATTATGCGATTATGAATTTATATGATAAGCATGTACACGAATATAATTACTTTTTAATTTTGTACATTTTTATATACAAATTGACTCATAATTTCCATGAATATGTGAATGAAGAATTTCTTATCAATATATATTACAAAAGGGCCAATAAAATATTAGAGCCCAACGATTCAAAATGAAATGATAGATTGTTTAGACAACCAAATGTTAATTCATAAAAATAAGGCAAGCTCTTTTTTTCTTGCATATTTGATACAACTCAAAATATTAAGAAAATAGAATCAATTGAATTTAGTACTTAGGTACTGTAAAATCCTGTGAAAAGAAACTGGACAAGCATTTTACTTTGAAATTAACGAAATTTTCTCGATTGGGACAGACTATTATTCCATAGGCATCAGCAATTAGCGAATATCTTTTTCATTGTTCTCTTTGTTATAATATCAAGAATGACCTACATTATTGGAATGTTCGATAACACATTTTTTAAATAAAGTAAACTAAAGAAAAAAGAATCACTCACGACGAATGCCAATGTGTTTAAAAATTTCGTATAATGAACACATTGATTAATATTATCATCATCAATAAGTGTGATTTATATTACCGAAAAGAAAAATTTTCATTTATAAAATTTAATTAAAAAATGCCTTTGAAAAATATTTTTAAGTATTCAATAGATGGAAAAATAAAAATCATTATTCTCATTGATATGTAGTAATTTTCATAAGATAAAAGTAGTAAGTAGGCAACATTGGCCCAAATTCAATCAGTAATTTATTTAATTGCCTAGTTATTAAGCTAATTGCCTGAAGAGTCTTCGGCAAATAGAAAATTTATAAATACGTAACGGTGACGTGAGTAATATGAATTATTTTATATGATTATTATAATTAATATTAACATGAAATTCTCACATACATATTCATGGAAATTAGAAGTCAAATGTATATAGATGTTATTTTATCAAATTTCTTTTCCGTTTGAAGAGTAATCCATGGAAAATGTAAAAAATTAAATAGTCAGTAATTATTTATACATGTTTATCATTATATAAATAAAAATTGAAATGTCACAATTTTCTGAATTTGGAATAAGTTTTAGATATTTTCAATATTGCTTAGCTTTATGTTTATTATTTTTATATCTTCTACACGGAAAGAAAATAAATATGAAATTTTATAAAAACATTTTCAAATTTTGTAAAAAGAGCTAGTATTTGATTCACTAATTTTCATTTACTTCAAACTAGTAAAATATTCTTCGATCAAGAAAATGATGAATCAAATACAGATAAGTAAATGGGTTTTCTTGATACAATACAATTTTCCTCCAGTGTTGCATTTTCATCAATAAACTATTTCTAATGTTCATAATCAATTAACTATAGTTATAGAATCTGCTATAGAATATTCGTCAATTTTCTATTTGCCGAAGACTCTTCAGGCAATTAGCTTAATAACTAGGCAATTAAATAAATTACTGATTGAATTTGGGCCAAAGTTGCCTACTTACTACTTTTATCTTATGAAAATTACTACATATCAATGAGAATAATAATTTTTATTTTTCCATCTATTGAATACTTAAAAATATTTTTTAAAGACATTTTTTAATTAAATTTTATGCATGAAAATTTTTCTTTTCGATAATATAAATCACACTTGTTGATGATAATATTAATCAATGTTTTCATTATACGAAATTTTTGAACACATTGTCATTCGTCGTGCGTGATTCTTTTTTGTTTGGTTTACTTTATTTAAAAAATGTGTTATCAAACATTCCAATAATGTAGGTCATTCTTGATATTATAACAAAGAGAACAATGAAAAAGGTATTCGCTAATTGCTGATGCCTATGGAATAATAGTCTGTCCCAATCGAGAAAATTTCGTTAATTTTAAAATCAAATGCTTCTCCATCAGTTTCTTTTCTTAGGATTTTAACATACCTAAGTACTAAACTCAACTGATCCTTTTCCTTAATATCTTGAGTTGTACCTATCAAACATGCAAGATACAAGAGCTTGCCTTAATTTCATGAATTAACATTTGATACAACTTGCCTATGTCCAAACAATGATCATTTCATTTTAAATCGTTGGATTTAAATATTAAATTGACCCTTTTGTAATTGTATAAAAATTTCAAAAAAATAAATTTTTCAAATATTGAAAAAATTGTAAAAAAAATCTTGTGGACATATTCGGAAATCCTTGTTGCAGATTTTAGATATTAACGACTACAATAAACCTACGAAATTTCTGTACAATCCGTCACAACGTTTCTGAGATTATTTGTACATAATAATTTGTGACATACACACACATCTAGACATTTATTAACACATTCAACATTTATTAAGGAAAAAAAAATATTTTTCAGTTTTTAAATTAATTAATTTATATTTTTAATAATTATTTAAGACAAAATTTTAAATTAACCAAAGTATTTTCATTTATATAAACAATTTTAGTGCATCAATTCAATTAAAAATTTTTTAAATGTTATTTTATATTTAATTTATAAAAATAAATTTTAGTTTCTATTTTTAATTCAATTTGACTACATTGAATTTGATTTTAAAATACTTTGAATTTAATTTTATTTAGAAATATTACAAATTTTTTAATGATTAAAGAATTTAACAATAATTTAATTGACAAAAATAATTTTGTAATATAAATATAATTAAATTAATATTTAATTAATTTTATATTTTTCATTTTAATCAATTTTATAATAAATTTAATCAAAAATCTTTCCCGTTTAGTAGATAACATATTTAAAATTTGAAAAATTTATTTATTTTTACTTTAAAATTTCTAAAATTAAATAATTAGACACAAATTAATTGATTTATAATAAAAATGATATATAATTTGTATTAAAAAATAATGTTTCCTCTATATAAGAGGAAGAAAAAATATTCAGAATGTCAACATAATCACTTAACACTAGTCTTATGAAATTTGAAATTGTGGAAAAATAAAAATTTGATTAATACAGAATGAGAGGTAAAGTAGTTTATTTTTTTTTACTCTACATAATTATTACGCTCACTACGAAATAAAATTATATATGTACCTATTACAATATTTTGCACATTCTTTGTACAAAGTTAGAATATAATAAATTTATTCCTACATTTAAGTTGAGTATATAAATAATAAATATAATATAAATAAAATAAACAAATAAAATGATATCTATATCTATATATATCTACCTATATTACAAAAAGATATCGCCGCCAACGCCGCCGCTGTTCCAAGACTCTGAATATAACCGCAAGTCAAGAGAAGGGGGGGAGAAGAGAAGGGAGAGGGGGGGGGACTTTCGGCTATATTCAGAGTCTTGAAACGATCTTAACCATTAAATTTAGGGTGGGGGGAGGGGAAAAGGAGGGGAAGAGAGGAGGGGGGATGGGGGTTGGCGCGCGAAGCCGCTGTTCCAAGACTCTGAATATAGCCGCAAGTCAAGAGAAGGGGGGGTAGAAGAGAAGGGAGAGGGGGGACTTGCGGCTATATTCAGAGTCTTGAAACGAACATAACCTTTAAATTTAGGGTGGTGGTGGGGAAAAGGAGGGGAAGAGAGGAGGGGGGATGGGGGTTGGCGCGCGAAGCGCGCAGGGGGCATAGCCCCCTAGTATATATATATACCTATATTACAAAAAGATATCGCCAACGCCGCCGCCGCTGTTCCAAGACTCTGAATATAGCCGCAAGTCAAGAGAAGGGGGGGGGGTGGAAGAAAAGGGAGGGGGGACTTGAGGCTATATTCAGAGTCTTGAAACGATCTTAACCTTAACCTTACAGTTTTCTGAAGAATTTTGACATTTTTTACTATTTTCGTCGTCACATTTACAATTCTTATTATCATGACAATAACTTTTATTACAATGATTGTTACAATGATGATGATGATGATGATGATGATGATGATGATGATGATGATGATGATGCTCTGGAGAAGAATCGCTAGATGAGTCACAATTAGGATCAGATTCTAAACTAGGATCAGATTCTGAACTAGAATCACACTCTGAACTAGGGCCAGAAATATGTTCAGAACTAAAGTCAGAACTAGTTAAAGATCCACTACAGTCATTGCTTTTTTCTTCGGAACTATGGCTATAATTGTGTAGAAGAAGAAAAAATAGTTAAAAATAGTTAGATTGTTTAAACAATATTTATTTAATTGTTATACATACTATTGTTTTGGAAATCTATCTAACATTTAATTATATTTAAATTACGATATTTTTATTTACCAACAGTGTCGATGATGATGATGATTATTATTATTATTATCTAATTTACAATTTATTAAGCAACATGTCTCATTTGTATTATCTGGAAAATAAAATTTAAAGCAAAATTAATAATCAATATACATTATAATTTTTTTAATAATACATTTTTAAAAATATTTATAAAATATTTTTAAATCCGTTAACTTTTTTATTATTTATTTTTTTACTAGCAAACTATACGTGCGCAAAGGCATTGTTAATTTATTTAAATTGTTAAGTAAATAAAATAATCATAAAATTGTTATTTATATATTTTAAATAGATAATATCTAAAATTTAATTAAAATTATTATTTTTCAATTAATTGAAATTGGAATATTTTCACAATTATATTTTAAACATAATTAATAAAAAATTAATTATATATGAAACATATTTTAATTGTTCTTTAAAATTAAAAACATAAATATTTTTAATTATAGGTATGCAGAAATAATTTCACAAAATTGTTGTTCACATTTTTTCAATTTTATTTTTATTTATTTGTGAATTTGTTTAAAAATTTAATTAATTTGTTTATTTTAAACAAATAATTAAGAAAAGTTTTATTTCGAAAATAAACTATAAAGAATTATCAACTAAATACAAAATTTTAAATATTTATATATCTATTATTTTTTCTTTCAATTAAAAAAAAAGCAATCTTAAAAAATTTTTCACTTTTTTTTATTTTTAACAAATATTTAAAAATCATTTCTAAATTAATTTACAATATTAATTTACATATTCACAATACAAATCAATTGTCTAAAATGTAAATTTATTAAAAATATTTTGGTATGTAATAAAAATTTTTTTTAATTGAATTTTTTTTTATTTTAAAAATTCAATTGTATAAAAATATTCATTGTTTGAAGAAGTTCAATTCTTTTATAATTAATTATCTATTGTACAATTTATTTACTTTAGGTACAAGTTAATTTTTGTTGTAAAACTTTTTTTAAAATTATTTATTTTCATATTCAATTATATTGGTTCAGTTAGAGATTTTTCGTCTGTTATATGGATCGTATTTTTCGATTTAGTTATAATTCTGTTATTTATATTGAAAATGAAATTAGAAAACTTTAAAAAAATTGCTAATATATTTTTGTTTTTGAATAAAAAAATGAATTAATAAATCTTCTAAAATTCAAATAACAGCAACTAATTTATTAATGGAAGTTAGTATTAATAAATTAGTTGTAATTAATTTAATTTTAAAAAACAACAAATCATTTATTTTAAAAAATAAATATATATAAAATGTACCGACCTATTTTTTGTAATTATTTTTAATGTATAAAAATATAAAATTATATGTATATAAAATAATTTTTTTTTAATTTGTCAGACAATAATTTATAAAAAATTATAAAGAAAAAATGAATTGTTATGAAGCCTTGGGAAATAAGAATAATAAATAAACAAGTTTGTTGATTCATTGTATTTTGTAATATGATGTGAAATATAACACGTTGAAAGTTGCAAATGACAAGTGCAACATAAGCATTTACTAGTTATTTCATACGTTTTCTTATTTAACAAAATTTTAATTCAATATTTTTATTATATATATTTTTGTCGACTCATTATATTGCATATTTTTTTGTTTTGTATTTCAAAATTTACTGAATGAAAAAGAAATTGTTAATATTAAGTAATTAAATATGCGAAATATACCATTTGTATTTGTAATTATTTGCCGTTTGACTATTAATTTTGAATGTTGCCTCTAAAAATAAAGAAAAAAGTACAATTAATATTAAATGAATATTAAAAATAATTTATTTTCTATAAATTAAAATGACAATAAATTAATTCAAAAAAATTAAATAAATAAAACGTACGTGTAACATTTTTTGATTTAAAACGTTGCAATATATATTTGAACATATTGAAAGTGTAATAAAAATACCAATGAGAAATGACAAATTTAGACAATAATTGTTAGCCATAATTTATTAGAATTAAAATCTTGCACAAATTATAATTGCTTGTTGAAATTGTACTCATTATATATATATATATATGTTAATGTTATCATTGATTTTAATAATTTAACTCGAAAATTGAATCTGATTTTTAAAAAAACTTAAATTTTATCTTAATCTTATATTCAATATATAAACTATTATATCAATTTGAGTGAAATAAATTATTTTAAAAACATCTTTTTTAAGATAATGATATTTTAAAACTTATTAATCTAATCAAATGACAAGAGATACATGATTTTTAAATATTTCCTTATATATTTATCATTTTTAAATGTTGTTAAAAACAAAAATATCGCACACAAATTGTTAAACTATTATTTGTCTAAAAATTAAAAAATCTATAAATAATTTTAATAATTTACATATATATAATATATGTAAAATATTAGCAAACTCTAAATATTTTCCAATTAAAAACAATACAGGTATTTTTTTCACCTTTGAACAACTTTACGGGGTCAGAATAAAATATTTTTGACTTTCGATATTTTTTTTAGACCACTCTGTATAAGACAAAGTGATTATTCGAAAAGAAACTGTAGGAAATAATAAAAACTTACATTTTTTAATAAATATTTTTTTTGGGCTGTGGATAAAAAGATATGAAAGTAATTATAAAAATTCTAAACAATATAGAAAAAAATTGAAAATTATTCATTTTGTTTGCACGTCTCGTATTTTGACGGCATTTTGTGGTGTTTGCTCTCGGTTTATAAACGAAAATTCTTCTTTTTTCAAAAATTTGTTAATAACTTTCAAAACATTTTGTTTTTATTCTCAAAATTAAAAGAATAAAATTAATATATAATTAATATATATACATATATGAATACAATTACTCTTTAATTTTATAAATGTTTAAATTCACAACACAACAAATGGAATAAAATTTTGATAATAATTATTATCAATATGTACAATTGACTCATAACATCCATGAATATGTATATATGAAGAATTTCTTATTAATTGTTAAATTTTTTTAGCATTTATTTATTGAAGTTAAATTTCTACTTTTTATTTCATGATTTGAAAAAAAAATTTCTATAAATTTTTGAAAAATTTAACTATTTTCTCACATTTTGCGTTATACATACAAAATGTAAACCCCAGGTAAAATTTTCGAATGAAAATGAATGAACAGATGGTCAATTTTAAATTAGAGATAGATTTAGATAATAAATCGAAATTTAAATAATAAAATTTCAAAGTAAAATATGAAAATTAAAATCAGGTTCATGATTTGCAATTATTTTTGTCAATTAAATTATTGTTAAATTCTTTAGGTAATCATTAAAAAATTTGTAATATTTCTAAATAAAATTAAATTCAAAGTATTTTAAATTCAAATTCAATGTAGTCAAATTGAATTAAAAATAGAAACTAAAATTTATTTTTATAAATTAAATATAAAATAACATTTAAAAATTTTTAAATTGAATTGATCCACTAAAATTGTTTATATAAATGAAAATACTTTGGTTAATTTAAAATTTTGTCTTAAATAATTATTAAAAATATAAATTAATTAATTTAAAAAATGAAAAATATTTTTTTTTCCTTAATAAATGTTGAATGTGTTAATAAATGTCTAGATGTGTGTGTATGTCACAAATTATTATGTACAAATAATCTCAGAAACGTTGTGATGGATTGTACAGAAATTTCGTAGGTTTATTGTAGTCGTTAATATCTAAAATCTGCAACAAGGATTTCCGAACATGTCCACAAGATTTTTTTTACAATTTTTTCAATATTTGAAAAATTTATTTTTTTGAAATTTTTATACAATTACAAAAGGGTCAATTTAATATTTAAATCCAACGATTTAAAATGAAATGATCATTGTTTGGACATAGGCAAGTTGTATCAAATGTTAATTCATGAAATTAAGGCAAGCTCTTGTATCTTGCATGTTTGATAGGTACAACTCAAGATATTAAGGAAAAGGATCAGTTGAGTTTAGTACTTAGGTATGTTAAAATCCTAAGAAAAGAAACTGATGGAGAAGCATTTGATTTTAAAATTAACGAAATTTTCTCGATTGGGACAGACTATTATTCCATAGGCATCAGCAATTAGCGAATACCTTTTTCATTGTTCTCTTTGTTATAATATCAAGAATGACCTACATTATTGGAATGTTTGATAACACATTTTTTAAATAAAGTAAACCAAACAAAAAAGAATCACGCACGACGAATGACAATGTGTTCAAAAATTTCGTATAATGAAAACATTGATTAATATTATCATCAACAAGTGTGATTTATATTATCGAAAAGAAAAATTTTCATGCATAAAATTTAATTAAAAAATGTCTTTAAAAAATATTTTTAAGTATTCAATAGATGGAAAAATAAAAATTATTATTCTCATTGATATGTAGTAATTTTCATAAGATAAAAGTAGTAAGTAGGCAACTTTGGCCCAAATTCAATCAGTAATTTATTTAATTGCCTAGTTATTAAGCTAATTGCCTGAAGAGTCTTCGGCAAATAGAAAATTGACGAATATTCTATAGCAGATTCTATAACTATAGTTAATTGATTATGAACATTAGAAATAGTTTATTGATGAAAATGCAACACTGGAGGAAAATTGTATTGTATCAAGAAAACCCATTTACTTATCTGTATTTGATTCATCATTTTCTTGATCGAAGAATATTTTACTAGTTTGAAGTAAATGAAAATTAGTGAATCAAATACTAGCTCTTTTTACAAAATTTGAAAATGTTTTTATAAAATTTCATATTTATTTTCTTTCCGTGTAGAAGATATAAAAATAATAAACATAAAGCTAAGCAATATTGAAAATATCTAAAACTTATTCCAAATTCAGAAAATTGTGACATTTCAATTTTTATTTATATAATGATAAACATGTATAAATAATTACTGACTATTTAATTTTTTACATTTTCCATGGATTACTCTTCAAACGGAAAAGAAATTTGATAAAATAACATCTATATACATTTGACTTCTAATTTCCATGAATATGTATGTGAGAATTTCATGTTAATATTAATTATAATAATCATATAAAATAATTCATATTACTCACGTCACCGTTACGTATTTATAAATTTTCTATTTGCCGAAGACTCTTCAGGCAATTAGCTTAATAACTAGGCAATTAAATAAATTACTGATTGAATTTGGGCCAATGTTGCCTACTTACTACTTTTATCTTATGAAAATTACTACATATCAATGAGAATAATGATTTTTATTTTTCCATCTATTGAATACTTAAAAATATTTTTCAAAGGCATTTTTTAATTAAATTTTATAAATGAAAATTTTTCTTTTCGGTAATATAAATCACACTTATTGATGATGATAATATTAATCAATGTGTTCATTATACGAAATTTTTAAACACATTGGCATTCGTCGTGAGTGATTCTTTTTTCTTTAGTTTACTTTATTTAAAAAATGTGTTATCGAACATTCCAATAATGTAGGTCATTCTTGATATTATAACAAAGAGAACAATGAAAAAGATATTCGCTAATTGCTGATGCCTATGGAATAATAGTCTGTCCCAATCGAGAAAATTTCGTTAATTTCAAAGTAAAATGCTTGTCCAGTTTCTTTTCACAGGATTTTACAGTACCTAAGTACTAAATTCAATTGATTCTATTTTCTTAATATTTTGAGTTGTATCAAATATGCAAGAAAAAAAGAGCTTGCCTTATTTTTATGAATTAACATTTGGTTGTCTAAACAATCTATCATTTCATTTTGAATCGTTGGGCTCTAATATTTTATTGGCCCTTTTGTAATATATATTGATAAGAAATTCTTCATTCACATATTCATGGAAATTATGAGTCAATTTGTATATAAAAATGTACAAAATTAAAAAGTAATTATATTCGTGTACATGCTTATCATATAAATTCATAATCGCATAATTGAAATAATGTGTGCCTAATCAATTTTTTTAATGTCACGATGTTTCGAATTTGGAGAATAAAATAAATTATTTAAAAAGTTATTATCAAATTTTTGAAGAACAAAGAAGGATTTTCGTATATAAACCGAAAGCAAACAAAGACAAATATCATCTTAGTACAAGACATTGTATAACAAACAAAATGAACAATTTTCAAATATTTTCCATTTTGTTTGGCATTCTGCTCATTACTTTGATATCTTCTGATGCAGGGACCATTAAATCTTTATTGAAAAATGTAAGTTTTTTATTAATTTCCATTTCATTTTCGAATAAACTTTTTATAGTAGTATAAATATATTCTAGTATGGTCTAAAATGTATTCCTTTGATTTCTCCAAAGTTATCCCAAAGTGAAAAAATATACCTGTATATGATTTTTTTTTTAAATTGGAAAATATTTAAAAGTTGCTTAAAAACCCACGAAACTAACAGTAAAAACACCACAAAGCACCAATAATAATTTTCTTATAAAATTGTCAAAAATCAATCAAATCATTTCTGCTTTGAACTAGTTCTTGAAGAGGGATTAAAAAATGATAATCAATAATTTATTTAATTATTTGTTAATATAAACTATTTTTTATGGTGGTTTTTTAAAAATTTCATAAAGTTTTTGATAGTTATTATAATTTGAGTGGTCTTTGACGATTGTATTTTTAATGTAGGTAAATGTATGCTATCTGATATATTTTTATATTTTGAAATTATAAATTAATTAAATTTGCACGAATAAAATAAATGTTCGCAGATTAAACACTTTTGTATATTTTTATACGATATTTTTTAAACAAATATATTATACATATATAATTCAACCTTATTTTAGTATTGATATAAAGTTGAAAATATTTAAATTTGTTTAAAACATATTTTCTAGTTGATTTAATGTAAATAATATATTTAATGGAAAAATATATATTATTTGGTAGATTTTAAACTATATTTACATAATTTACATAACCAACGCTAAAAATTGTCTGAATTTGTCAATTTTCTTTGGTATTTCGTTTACACTTTTAATATTTTAAATATTATTTTGCAACGTTTTAAATCAGATAATGTTGTATCGTATATTTAAAATTCAAATTTTTAATTAATTTACTTTATCATTAATTCATACAAAAAAATTAATTTTCAATCTTAATATTAATTGTACATTGTTTTTTATTTTCAGGATCTATATTCAAAATTGTTAGTCAAACGCTCACCAGATAGGTAATTAAACTTTTTAATTTAAATAATTTTTTTTTTGTGAAAATTATAAGGCAAAGTTTTTTTTTAGTAAGAACTAAAAAAGAATAATCTATATTTTATATAATTGCTTTTATTTTTATATATTTCTATTTATTTTTTGAAATACAACAAATTTGTTAAAAACATTTTTTTTGTTTTTAAATGAAAATGATTGCTTTTTATAAGTAAAGTGAATGATCTTAACATACACAAAATGTCTTGTTTTGAAAAATAAAAAAACGAATATAAAATTTTTGTATAAATTATTTTCTTTAGGTTTTCAAAGATCACCTTACTACAAAATCGCTGTTTCTTTTAATAATTGATATATTACTTTAAATTAAATTTTAATAAAAGTGTAGAATTTTTAATGGACAAATGTTTAGAGAAAAATTACCAAAAAAAAGCGTTTTTCGATTATCTGACTGCGACTAATCCCTTAAAGCGTTCCGTTAGTACTCGTTAATTCAAATGATAACATAAATGGTTGTTGTTTTGAATAATTATGCGGGGAGGACTCTGCCTAAAAAATTTGGAACATTTTTTATTTAATATAATGTCTCATTATAAATATGTAATTCTAGTGACAGTAGCAGTTCTGACAGTAGCAGTTCTGACAGTAGCAGTTCTGACAGTTGTGAGGATAGTTCTCAATATTCTGTAGAACTTTGCTGTGATAAGGAAGAAACGACTTTAGCACCAGGACCAGCAAAAGAGAGTGTAGAAAGCATAAAAAAAGAGTTAAAAGAAAAACAAGACGAATTAGTTGTCAATAAGAAAATAGAACTGGATGCGCAAAATGTTGTAAATAATGACGCAAGAAAATTAGACGAGGTATTAATTCAAGTACATGCACTACGTCCACCAAACGCAAATCTGGATGATAGTGTGACCGTGCATGGTTATTACGTTAATGAATTGATTACTATACTGGAAAATAACAAGAAAAATGTAGAAAAGTTAGATAATGCAAAAAAAGACGTAAAAACATTAGAAAATGAAATATCAGATATAATTAAAAAATTATCTGCATCACAAGCAATTTAGTTTACAGAAAGATTAGCCCAAATGACGATTAGGTTAAAAAAAAAATAAAGTTTAATATAAATTAAAATTAGATTGAGGGGAAATTTACTTATATCGATGTAATAATCATTAATATTTTGTAGTAAGTGTATAATAATATTGATAATAGGTGTAACATTATAGCCTAATGAGTGGTCAAGTGTACACTTCTTTAACAAGTAAATTCCCCCTCGAATTAGATTAGATACAGATAAGGCCATATTCTATATGTATTATGATTTTACTAATTATTATATGTTTTATATTCTTTATTATTATTAGTTTTGGATAGGTTATAAGTATTTTAAATATTTTTATATTTCTCTCTTGTTTATAGGATTTATAGTTTTTTCGTTTATTCTATTTTTAATTGCTGTTCTTATGGTTTTCTTGTGACATAATAAATAAATTATAATTAAAATAACTGTGTATTCTATGAAAAAAAATATTAAATTTTTGGAAAATCAATCTACAGCACGAAATTTTTTTTTGTTAAAGTAGTATAGTAAATGTGCAATATTATTAAATTAAGAAATTCAATTAGTATTTACTTAGTATTTTATTACGTTATTGCTTAGTTCTCATTGAAACCTAATTTTACTAAATTAAATTTTTGTACTTAATTTATATATATATATATATGTTACGGGCAATGTGCGGGAGGCGGGCAATGTCCGAGAATGCCCGGGCACTGTCGACAATGCCCAAAATCAGTGGGCATTGTCGACATTGCCCTGGTTTTTTCGGTCAATGTCGAAAATTATTTATAAAATTCTGTTTTCTGGGCAATGTCGACATTGCCCAGTCCATTTTGGGCAATGTTGAAATGCATAAAATTTTTTAATAAAAAATAATTTGTAATATAAGTAAATATTTCATCACTTGTTAAAACTGAATAATTGAATAATATAATCAATTTAACGCTGTTTACTAAATTCTGAAGAATTTTTATTTGTGCAGTCAATTCAATGGATTTATTTGCAATCATTTTGTGTGCCCCAAAAGGAGGACTTTTCGTCATTTTACGATATCAAACATAAGTATAGACTTCATTGTGATACTCGGCTGTAATTCTTAATTTTTAATATTTAATGTACTAAAATAATGTTTTATAATTGTAAAGAAAAAAGTTTTAATAAATTTTGTACTTAATTATCAATTAATTTTATTATTTCTACAAAAATATTAATTAAGGTGAGAAAAATTTATTTGATCAACGCTTTGTTAGTACAACAAATTATTTTGCTGTCAAAAAAACGGACAGACAATTGTGCTTACATGTCTTGTGAGGAATATGAAAGTTACATTAAAAAAGTGGACCAATTAAAGTTATGCGAAAAAAAGGATTCGAGGAGTTACAGATTTTTAAAAAAATACGACACAATTTCCGTGAACGGAAACAAGAAATTAATTAGACCTATTAACAGTGACAGTGAAAATAAATATTTCGGGCATTATTTTCTAATAACATGTTACTTATTTATAATAAACAACATTGCCCAAAAATTAGTGGGCAATGTCGAAAATGCCCGGGCATTGTCAACAATGACCGGGCATTGTCAACCTTTTGTAAACGTTTTTAAAAATAAGTGGGCAATGTCGACAATGCCCACTGATTTTGGGCATTGTCGACAATGCCCGGGCATTCTCGGACATTGCCCGCCTCCCGCACATTGCCCGTAACATATATATATATATATATACCTATATTACAAAAAGATATCGCCGCCGCATTAGCCGAAAGTTTTGAACGTTCATATGAACGAAATATTTTTTCCCATCTATAAATTATTAAAAATTATGATGACTATGTAAAATAAAACAGTAACTAAAACAATAATTAAATTAATAACTTCTTTTTAGATATTTTGAACAATATTTTGTAATAAAATTCGTACTTAAAGAAATTGCAAAAAAAATTTCATTCATATGAACGTTCAAAATTTTTGACTCATGCTGCCGCCGCTGTTTCAAGACTCTGAATATAGCCGCAAGTCCCCCCTCCACTCCCTACTCTTCTACCCCCCTCTTGCATTGTGATATCTTTAAATTTTTCGACTTCAGGAATCCAAAAATTCGCGAATATCCTAATGTTACTTTATTCAGAGTTATTAACATTTTGAAATTGAGAAATTTTGAAAAATATGCCGTTTTTGCATTAATTATTAAATAATCTTTATTTAACTTTAAAATTGAGCGTGCCAATGGAATAATCAGACGAGCGCTCGGATGCATGCACGCTCTGATTATTGCATTGTCACACTCAATTATTATGAACAAGTTGAAGAATATTTAAAAACGATTCAATTGATTGACCTCCCTTTTTGATTTGATTTTTAACATTATAATAAATAGAAAATATCTTCTATACATTAGTTTAAAAATATGATATTTTTGTTTGAATAATATATATATATATATATATATAATTACATAATTCACAAATATATTTTATTTCACTTAAGCAAAAAAAATGTTTAAAAATTTTATGTTTGATTTAAACTTAAAAATTAAAATCAATAAAGATATAGATGCAATCCTATATATCGCAATAAAAAAGAGAGTTTTTAATTTTTATTTGAGTCATCAAAAATATATAAAATGATAAAAAGTATTGATATTATAATTTAGTGAAATAACATAAAGACGTAATACATATGTAAATGCTTATGTTGCACTTGTCATTTACAACATTCATCTTATTATATTTCAATATTTCACATCAATTAAAAAATGGAATAATGCAAAAATTGTTTATATTATTTTTATTTTACAAACATTACATTTTTTTGCAACAGATCTATCAAAATTAGTAACCACAGCTAATTTTTTTGCTATATTACAACGAAAAAGTTTGCTGTGATAATCAATACCAGTCTTAATTTTTAAAAATTTACTGTTACAGCAAACTTTTTTGACCACACAGCAAATTTGTTCGCTGTTCCTATATTAGCTAACGTAATTTGCTGTGACAGCAAATAGTTCGCTGTTACAGCAAACTTTTTCTATCCGTGCAGCTTCTAGGTGGGGCCTAGCAGGGTTAGCCCAGGTGGAAAATTCTTGGGTTTTGAAACGGTCAAACAAGGCATAGCCCAAGGAATTTATACTGTGTTACTACTATTATTTTGTTTAAAAGTGTCAATACTGCATGTTTTTTGATTCAAATAAATATTTATTTGCATTAATAAAATATTTTTCTTGAAACAACTAAAAATTTTCTTGAATCAAATATTCGATTATTTGTCATAAGTAATTCTTTGAATTGAAACTAAAACCTCTTTAATTGCGGTAATTATTATTTTATTTGATCTAAATACATTATTTATTTGCATAAAATGTAAGAATTTTTTGATTCAAATAAATCAAAATTTGAATTGAATAAATAACTTATTTATTTACTAATTCTTCCATTTCTAAATTAAAATCTTACTCAAATAAATAAATTAAAAAATATGTAATTTCTGCATACTATGATCGCATATTTTCATTTTTCAACTAATTCATACATAGAATTAATGATTAAACGCAAACCTGAGAAACAAATAAATCTAACGCATGGGGGGAATCGAACCTATGACCTACGGATTATGAGTCTAACGCTTTACCAACTATGCTACGCACGCTACGTGAAAGCAAATGTTAACTTCTTGAAGTCATTTAAACTTGCAAAAGACCTAACTCAGAAAAGTGCTTAACATTATTTAATTAAAATTAAGATATTAAATTATATTTTCCAATTAAATGCAATTAATAAAATATAATTAATTATATATATGTTTATTTGAATCAATTACATAAATTTATTGTGTCAAATACTTTTTATTTGTATCAAATAAACGAAATATTTGAGTGAAATAAATGAATGAATAGTTTCAAGTAACTCATTATTTGTATTAAATAAATTCATTTATTCAATTCAATTAATTATTTAATTGAACCAAATACGATTTATTTGGTTCAAATAAATGCGATTCAATAATAATTCAAGTTATTTGAATCAAATACATATTTTTTGATCCAAATAAAAAGTATTTGAACCAATTAAATATTTTTCAAATAATTTGAAGTATTTGAATCAAATAAATTTTTTTTTTTCAGTGTAGGCAAGTTGTATCAAATGTTAAATCATGAAATTAAGGCAAGCTCTTTTTTTCTTGCATATTCACCCAGAGAAATGATTTATTTGAATCAAATGAAATATATTTGAGTGAATTAAACGTATATTTGTCTCGGAGCCTACTAACTTATTTATTTGGCGTAAATAAAAATTTTATTTGTAAGAAATAAATTTTTCTTTGGCTCAAATAAATTTTTTATTTCAATGAAATAAAATATATTTGCAACAAATAAATGAGTTAGTAGGCTTGGAGACAAATATATCATTTCTCTGAGTGTTTGATACAACTCAAAATATTAAGAAAATAGAATTAATTGAGTTTAGTACTTAGGTACTGTAAAATCCTGTGAAAAGAAACTGGACAAGCATTTTACTTTGAAATTAACGAAATTTTCTCGATTGGGACAGACTATTATTCCATAGGCATCATCAATTAGCGAATACCTTTTTCATTGTTCTCTTTGTTATAATATCAAGAATTACCTACATTATTGGAATGTTCCCGTGTGGAAAAATGTTGGGGAACTGACAGGGTCCTTGCTAGACCGTCTGCTGTCTATCTAGGTACTGAATAGACCGTCTCATCATGGCGCTACTCAGAATGGTGACGATTCATCCATGACATGGTCTGATCAGACGGGCTATTCATGGTCTAAGCAGCAGCGCTAGTAAAATCTAAATTAGCTTAATTAAAAATAAATAAAAATTATTATATAAAAAATACGAAACCTTTATATTTTGTTTTAATATAATGTAAACAATGCGGAGTAAATAAAAAAAAAGTATTTTCCACATATTTACGGAATTATCTTGTAAGTCGACCACCGAGATTTGAACCCATGACCATATTGTTTTTTCACCAATTGCGCCTGCTACCGTATGGGAGCTGCGCCTAGGCGCGCTCGACCAAGGGAGGCTATGAAAATTTGTTACAAAGTGTCAGTCATAAGGAACAACATCAAATAAATATTTTTTGAACCAAGTAAACTGTAATTGAATCAATAATTTTGGAATTTAAACAAAGATAATTTATAATTAACTCAAGTAATATTTATTTACTGCAAATAAATATTTATTTTATCATATTGTCAATTATAACCTATTATTTGAATATTAAAAAAAATTTCAAAAAAAGTTTCTGAAATTATAAAAACAAGAAATTTTTTTTATTAAAGTTAAAAAGAATAAAAGTTTTTAACAGATTCAAATAAAACCTTTCTTTCTCGAGTTGCAGTTGACTAATATTTAAAGAAAAGGATTTTTCTTTTCTAATTGTTTTGTTACAATTTTGTTGATTGTAAATAAGAGTAAATTTACTTGAGAGTAAATTTCTGGGATAATATTAATAAAATTAAAAACTTAAAGAATATAATAAAATTATATCTCTTTTATAAAATACTTCATACCATGGATTGTTTTTATAAGCACTATAATAAATGTCATAAGTTGTCACTGCAGTTTTTTTAACATAACCAACAAATCTTAGCAGTCTAGACAAAGTATAGACGGTCTTGGCAGTAACTTACAAGACGGATAGGCGTTGCAACCAGAGTTGCCAATGGCTACTTAAATGCAACTGCGCTTGCGCTACGACAACTCTCTTATAGGTCGAAAAAAGCGCGCTTATATATAAAATACTTAATATAATAAGAAAATGTTAAGAAAGCAATAAAAAAACATTTTCTCTATTGAATTTAATGTTTTTCTTGTTAATTATATTATTTTCTTTTACAAAATATTAATTTCCTTAATGTACTTAAGTATATAAAAATAATAATAATATTAATAATTTTATTATATTTATATCATTATTATTGTTATTATTTTTTTTTATAAAATATATAATTTATTTTTATTATTATTTTCATTAAATTTTTATTAATTGATTATCTCTGATTATATTACATCTATATATATATACAATATATACTTCAAAAAAATTTCACTGCATTTTTTTAAAAATATATATATATATATATATTTCATAGATAATTAATAAATAATAATTTAATGATAATATAATGATAACAAAAAATAATATA